TTCAAGCTAACCCCAACTCCCTCATACACCTAGAATAATAAAGTTACAGAGTACAAGCATCAGTACTAAATACACTCCACAGAACAATAACCTAGAACATAAGCCACTTTTTAACACACACTAAAACATAAAGAGAAAATGATGAAGCAAGAAGATCTTCCTCCACCCCAACACACTAGGCTTTCGAGAGGCTAGTACTCTCCCAAACTCACTTCACTTTCCAAAATGACTCTACACCCTCTCGGCTGAATTGGAGAACTTAAAACCCAGAAAGTTACCAAATCACTGCCCCTACCCTTAGCTGCCCCTACTCCCTTCTCCTATGTCCCTTCTTTTCCCTTTTGACCAGGACCCATGGTGTAATCTTTTGACCCAGTAGTTTTTGTTTGCCCTCTTCTATCATTTTCTTTGAAATTTGCTCCTATAGGTCTTAGCAACTTAGCAGATCTATCAGATAACATATTATTTATTCTCATGCTACTACATTTTTTATGGTGCAGTACACTGTGATGATGTTACTTGAGGAGATGGCCTCAATTTTCCTCACTCCATATTTGCTTTTATTTGTCGTCCCAAAGGTCAATGCTTTATTTGGGCAAGAAGTTCACTTTGTTTACTCCATATATTATTATGTCATAACCTTTTTCTGTCCAACTTGCAGCGAGTTGATGATATTCTCCAGTTCATTGCAGATTTCACGGTGGATGTTGAAGGGGTTGGCCATGTTTGCAGGTTGATATTGACACAATCTTTCTTTGATTTGCATCCCGTTTCTCTCTGGCAATTGTTTGGCGCTTCTTAAAGTGAATATTTCCTGTTTTAATATTTTTTGTTGTGCTAATGACATACGATATTAATTATCTTCTGTGGTATCCTCAATATTGCTAGTTTTAGTGTCTTCGATTTTCAAGCCCATGGAAACAGCAATTATGGTTCCCCATGCAATGCACCTCGGAGCAGGAGGAGTTCACAGGGAAAGATGGAGAAATCATTTCTGAGGTATTGTCTTGGCAGAGTTCGTTATATACACAACACTACTATGATTAGAATTGCTATGGTTCATATTTGTTTAGGTTGAGCCTCGCTGTTGTGAGGAAATAGATATTTATTTGGCTTGCTTTCCTATTTGCTTGTTTCAACGGAGGTTGACAATTGCATTGGGTTATATACAATGCTTTTTTTTTTTGACCCAAAATTCCTGTGGTTGATGGAAAAAGGAAAAAGAATGAATATATTGCAAAATACAAAGTTAGGTGGTTATCTACCAATCAGCTAAGGGAGTTAAAATTACCTTAGTAATTTCTGTTGTGTAAATTCATATAATTTCATACGGGAAAGAGTTGCTCTTATCTCTATGCAGGATGTTAAAAATTCTATCTGTTTCTGTTAGTTGTCCTTTACAAATGATATTATTTCATTTTATCATTGCAAACTTTTACAATAATTCTGTAAACGACAATTTTCTATACTCAAATATTAATATTTTAAACTATTCCCTTTCATACTACTGGAAAAACTACAGATTTTTGTTTGATCTGGAATTTTTTTTTTTTTTTTGGGTCTGACTGGAAAATTTAAATCTCATCAACTCTATTCATGTTGGATTGGTCTGCCCAAGAGCTTCTATCTTGTGCTTATTGTCAAAGTTTCTTTTTCTCATGTTTTCTGCTGTTGACAAAAGTGTAATTGAAAGACAGATATTGCATCTTGCCATCTCATTTTTGTGTTGTATAGATCCAAAATTTCTGTAAACCTTCAGCTACTTCTTCGATTCCTACTACTAATGACTACTGTTATGATTACAGCTTTCAGAGCACCTACCATTCATGGGAACCAAATTTTCAGGGGAAGCAGTTTTTGCTGAATCTTAGAACGTTGGGAGAGCAAAATTTACCAGGACATGGAAACAGATATGCATCTTCCCCTCCTACAAGGTGGATGGGTGGTCCCTATATGAGGAGTAATGGAGACAGGAACTTGTTCACATCCAGGGAAACGGCGCCTAATACTCTCAAAATTGGTAATCACCTGGGTTCATTGTGGCCAAGTGATGCTAATCAAAACAATAACCTTTATATTCTTGATTGCTACTATACTTCTCGACCTCATCATGTTCCAACAGAACCATTAGAGAAGACGGAGCATCATTCCAGAGAGTATTGGATGTCCTTTGAGAATGAACCTGGGTATGATGAATACTTAAGAGAGTATCATGGGAATCGAGCTGAGTCTCATTTTGGGGCATCCACATCAGCTCCCTTTTTCAGGGAAGCTCTTCTCGAGGATCGACTGAGTAGTGATCTGCCAGAGTCTAGCAAGAGTCAATGGTGGGCTAGAAGTCGACCCCTTGGCGGACAAGCTCAGGCTAGCTTTTTCGAGCCTCCAGATTTCAATCACCAGACATTTAACTATCGTGATAGGTTATCTGATAGATGCTCAGATGATCAAGAGCAACACTTGGACTGGAGAGATTATAACAGGTTATCTAGAACAACTCACGCAGACGACTTAGAGGCAGGGGAATTTAATCTTCATTTTGATGATATTTATAGTAGACCCCCTGAAACTCCCACTTATAATTCAAGCACCGCTAACCTCTGAGCGATCATGACACTTGTTCTCTGATTATATATGTCTGGGATGTGTTGCTTTTGAGTGTCTGGAATGTACAAGAGTTCCTGCCTTGCAAGTGGTAGTTGTGCCTTCTATTTCACCCATGGAAACTCTATTCTTTACTGTATATAGATCCATTGAATTGCTCTATTGGGTTAGATTCCTAGTGAACCTCACCTTCATAGTTGGGAGGGAAGAGGCTGGGGAGGGGCTTTAAATGGCTGCCTTCCTAATGTAAGAACATGAGGATAAAACAATAATTAGACATTCATCATTCATCGTGTAAAGCGTCCTGATTCTTAAACTTTCTTTCCTTCCATGTTTTGGTTGGGTTTGTGTGGTAAATGGTGATCTTATTTGAAATTGCAACTTTAGTTTGTTAAATAATCTCTTGGTCTACCAAAAAAAAAAAAAAAGCGTTAAATAATCTGTACACAGCTTGGTTGTGCAATATAAGAAAATAGTGCCCAGGCCATTGACAGTATTGATTGTGTTCGATTTTATTCGAGGAGTATTATTTGTCTTCAAAGAATAATTATGATTTATTAATTGATTAAAATTTTGAAATCAATATCAATCATGAATGAATAATTTGTATACGGTTTATTAAAGAATGATTATTTATATTGTCACAATATTATTGTTGTTTGGAGCACTATCAAGGTAATGAGCAAGTTTATTGATGAATTCTGATAATGTGTGTGTGGATGCCCTTCTAGCATACTAGAGCGGCCAAAAAGGGTTTGGTTCTTCAAATTATCTATTTAAATCTTGTATTTTTTGAGAGTTGTGTTTCGAAAAAAACGAGGAAAGTTTTACATAAAAAGATTTGAAACAGGACTTGGGTTAGCCTTTTTAGGCCTTGCAATTTTTGTTTTCAATTAACATGTGGTTAAAATTGTTAATATTTTAAAATCATATGGTTTAGAATTTTTGATTTATTTTTAATTTTGAATTAATATATTAAAGCGACACAATTTTTAAAGTTACGTATTAACATAATTAAAAAATTAAATAATAAGTTTTTAAAAAATTCACATAATTAAGAAATTAAATAATAAATTTTAAAAAAAATTCTGCAAGCTTTCAGGCTCACCCTGTCAATGAGAGCTGGGTTTTAAAAAATATGGTGAATTTAAAATATGTGGGCTTATGGTCTTAAACTTTTAAAAGCCGAGTCAATCCTTATTAATGGTATGTAGTACGGAGGAATTTTTATTTGTAGCCTTCTCATGAGTAAGTTAATTAGTTCATATGCAGAAACTGGTTAATATCAGTTTATACGTAGAAACTGGTTAATCAAAATATTTTTTATGACCTCAAAAGTTAATCAAAATATTTGATAGCTATAAATTGTATTATTTAGATTATTATCGTGCCAGCAGCCAGCACAATACTTAAATTAAACATTTTATAATAAATTATGCTCTTTGTAAATCATCATAAAAAGTGAAAATGATGGAAAATTCTCTTGAAATATACAAATGGTAATAAGATTTTACAAAATATGATAATTCATTTCAAGTTCATTAGGACTTTTATAATATTAATGTCTTTTATGAAATGACTATAAAACCCCTAATTTAAAATAAAAAAGAAATGGATTAGTAATTAAAAAATTTGCATAACAAAACTTATCATTTGTCATTTTGTTTTAGTCATTATTAGAAAAAAATAATTATTATTTAAACCAAAATAATCATTGATATTTATAATTCTTAAATTTTAATAATTAAAATCTTTAAAAGGAAAGTTGTAGTTATTTATTTTATTTTAATTATATTAGAAAAAAATCACTACTTGAATTAAAATAATTATTAATTATTAATATTCATACCACTTAAATTTTAATAGTTTAAAGACTTGGAGAGTCAGCTTATTATTTGCAAAATATTAATTTAATCATTGTCAAAAAAATAATCAATTCGAAAATCAGAGAAAAATAATCACATCTCATCATGTCATGTTCTGGTAGGATTTTTTTTTGAAAGACGATAATTTAAATTAAGTTTGACGAGCTAGTTTAAATAAGTTAAAAAATTTTTAAAATTGGACTTAAAAGTTTAATTTTTTTTATTTCAAGCTTATTTAGACTGCTTGAATAAACTTAAAAAAATTTAAGTTAAGCCTGAATCCAAATAAATTTAATCCAAATATTTAATTTTTTTATTATTAATGAAATAATGTAAAAATAAAATATTAATTTTTTAAAATAAAAATTACAATTAAATAAAAATAAAAAAATAATATTTAATAATTTAAATATTCAAATCAGAATAAACTAAAAAATTCAAGAAATCAAAGTCCAATTTAATTATAATTTTTTTTATATAATAAAATATTTTAAATTTAATTTAAATAAATTTAGCTTGAATTAAATTCGCTTCAAATAAGTTGGCATGTCCGGCCCCAATATTTCTATCAGCTTCCCAGTAAAAATGTACTCTTTTTTCTGTAACATCCAGCTAAGTGCAAACGACTGCGTTTTTTTGGCTGAACTCCCCTGCCTTGCCTTCCATTTCGCTCTGGTTCCTTCATGGATGCCAAGGGTTTTGCGCAGGTTTAAATTTTAACACCTACTTAACGCTTCTGATCGAAGTTTCTTGGTTCCACCATGAGAAAGGTTACAGTCACATTGTTCCAGCATCTCACTCGCCGACGACTACATCCTTTTGTTCCGTTCGTTTCCAAATACAGCTCGGGTCCTTCAACTTCATCATCTCGGTCCGCACCAATTAATTCGCCAACCCATCTCAAGCACTGCACTAAAAGCCATGGATTACTTACCAGAAGCAGGTTTCAGGCAAACCCTTATCGAAACATGGACACACTTGTTGAAACGCGCCCTCAAATATCATCTAGGCAGCGAAAAATAAAGGAAAAATCTGAGCTTGAGGAAGCTTTTGAGTCTGCAGAAACCAGTGAGGACATGGTTAAAATATTCAAAGATATGGAGGCAACTTTCGATGAGAGGGAGCTGGGATTGGCTGCTTTAAAAATTGGCCTCAAACTTGATCAAGAAGGTGAGGACCCTGCAAAAGCCCTGTCCTTCGCTGACAGAGCTTTAAAGGCATTAGACGAAGATAACAAGCCTTCCATCCTTGTTGCCATGACATTACAGTTAATGGGTTCGGCTAACTATAGCTTAAAGAGATTCAATGATAGCTTAGGATATCTCAACAGGGCGAATAGGATACTGGGTAGGTTACAGGGAGAGAACGCCAATGTTGATGATATTTGGCCAATTCTTCACGCTGTACAACTTGAGTTGGCTAATGTCAAGACCGCCACGGGCAGGAGAGAAGAGGCTCTTGAAAATCTCAGAAAGTGTATGGAGATCAAAGAATTGAGTTTGGAAGAAGATAGTAAAGAACTGGGTAAAGCTAACCGTGATTTGGCTGAGGCTTACGTTGCGGTTTTGAATTTCAACGAGGCACTGCGTTATTGTATGAAGGCATTGGAGATACATAAGAAGCAGTTGGGGAATAATTCTGTGGAGGTTGCACATGATAGAAGGATCCTTGGAGTTATATACAGTGGGTTGGAGGAGCATGAGAAGGCACTGGAGCAGAATACTTTGTCCAAGAAGATTTTGAAGAACTGGAATCTTAACTCTGATTTGCTGCGTGCTGAAATAGATGCAGCTAATATGCTGATTGCTCTGGGAAGATATGATGAGGCTACCGGTACTTTGAGGAGTATTGTACCGCAGACAAATGCTGATAGTGAGACTCGGGCACTTGTACTTGTATCAATGGCAAAAGCCTTATGTAATCAGGAAAAGTTTGCTGATTCCAAAAGATGTCTGGAGATTGCTTGTGGAATTCTTGACAAAAGAGAATCGACCTCCCCTGTGGAAGTAGCTGAGGCATACTCAGAGATTTCAATGCAATATGAAGCCATGAATGAGTTTGAAATTGCAATTTCACTGTTGAAGAGGTCACTGGCTTTGCTTGAGAAGCTTCCACAAGAGCAGCATTCAGAGGGAAGTATTTCTGCAAGAATAGGGTGGTTACTCTTGCTGACAGGTAAGGTGCAGCAGGGTATTCCTTACTTGGAAAGTGCTGCTGAAAGATTGAAAGATAGCTTTGGGCCCAACCATTTTGGAGTGGGTTATATTTACAACAATTTGGGAGCAGCATATTTAGAGTTGGCAAGACCCCAGTCAGCAGCACAAATGTTTGCAGTGGCTAAGGACATCATGGATGTCTCTCTTGGTCCACACCATGCAGATTCAATTGAAGCCTGTCAGAATCTTTCAAGAGCTTATGGTGAAATGGAAGGTATGGATGGCTTTCTTGATTTAATTTCATTTTGTTACATTGGTAGTGCGTGTGTGCATGTATGGTAACAGGGCCACGGGGCTAAGCAAAAGAATTTTCAGTACTACTATTGTAATTGTAATGTATTTGAACCTATTTAAGTCCAACCACTTACATGGTGAGCATATAGTTTGTAGTTTGCCATCTGTAGAGAAGTGACAATGGATATCCAGTGTTTATAAATCTGCATGCAAATGGCCATCCAATCCTCATTAAAATTGATGGATCAATTGGGTAAGATTGGATCTAATTTTTAATACACGATTCATGGACATCCAGCGGATCCATTCTCTTTGGCCCCACTAGACCCAAGTATTAGTATGTGTATATTTAGACAAAATGTGCTTTTTTTTTTTTTTTTGGGTTGAAATGGATCAAACACACACACACACACACACACACACTCCTATCCTAACCCTTCACCATAGGGAAGGGTGACACACGCAGATATGCTTACACCACTTGGGATTAGAACCCACAAACTCCCTTTTTAAAGGACTGTGGGGTGCCATTGAGCCAAGAGGCTCTTGGCAAATATGCTTTTTTATGCCAATATCAATATATATACCCTCGTACACATGTGCCTGCTCGCACACATATATACACATACACAAGTTTTGAGTGTAAGGGATTATGTTTAGAAACAAACCTGAATTTGTAAGCAGTTGAATACTTAAAGTTCAGATCCTTAATTGAATATGATAATTGGCTGCCTTACTTAACTCAAGATTTTATTGGTCCATTTTCTATTCAGTTGCTAATGTTATACTCCCTCTGTCCCTATTTATAAGATGTTTTTAACTAAATCACGTAAACCAATAAAAGTTGATTATCTAATTAAAAGCATAACAACATTCCAATTTTGCCCTTAATTATTGTAAATAAAAAATAAATCTCTTTTTTTAAAGTAAATTAATGAGAGTACTTATCCTTTTCTCTTTCCAATTTAATAATGGTATAATGGTCCATTCATTAAAAAATATACTAACAATCTCTTATATTTAGGGATAAAAAAAGGTTCTAGAAGGCTTTTTATATATAGGAGGGACTAAGGGAGTATGTGGTTGACCCAAATTCCAATAGTAAAGCCGTTTTAATGTCCTAGCTTGTGTTTGTATGTTAGAACTTATATCCTGTATGGTGCAATTGCAATTTATTGAACATGTGAGATGGATGTAACTGTCACAATTTCATGAATTAAGGAAATCTTGATTAGTTGCTTCCATCTGCATATATGATCGGCATCTCTGCTGGTAAATACAAGTGATGTTAAACTCAAGAAAGCTTGACATTGTATTTGATTTATATTTCCTCTAAAGCCTTAGCATCCCAGTCAATGCTGTGAATTAGGAAAAAGATAATTGTTATTTTATGGCTGTTACGTCAATATTTAACTGTATGCTAGGTTTCCTTTCTCCTGATTAGTTTGGAATAAAGGTTGCTTCTAGACTTCTAGTTAATGAAAGTGTATTTGTTGTCCTGGTTGTACTAGATGCTGAAATTTCTTTGTCCTGCTAGATTTGCTCTTTGCATCTTGGTTCATGTCAAGTAAAGGTGTTCAAAACTGATCCAAATCAAAAGGACCAAACTAAACCGATCCAAACCGAAATGAACCGACCAAAATTGGTTGTTGATCAAGTCTGCTTTAGTTTTATGACATGCAAACTAATTGGTTCGGTTCGGTTCGGTTTTAGTTTTGAGATTTGAAAACTGAACCGAACTTGAAACCAAGCTTGATTAAAAATTAGTATTTATTTATATAATATCTATCTAATTAATTTCAACACTCAGTCACCCAACCCATTGACCCAATCCAATATTTTTTCATTCATGTGTTGACTAGTTTTCCTCCTTCATTTTAGGTGTTATGCCTCAGATAATAGATTGGTGCTTGAGATGGAATGAGTTTTTTGAATAATTTCAAAGACCTTCCATAAATATGTTATGATTGAAATAAAGCATGAGGCAAGCAAGAACCTTCCATACAACAAAAGAAAAAGCAATGCATTAATCAATTCAAATTAAAAGAAATCAACTATTATAACGATGGGGGAAAAGGAGAAAAAAAGTCAAATAAATTTATTGAAACTTAATTTAGACCTTAACAAAACCGAAACAAGCTGATTTTCATAGAAAGCGATCGAATTTCATTTATGAGCAAACCGATTGGTTTAGTTCGGTTTGGTTTTGGAAACCCATGAACGCCCCTATTGTCAAGGATTATGAAATGGGTTTTATGTTGAAGCAAAATAAGATTTAGGAGGAAGTGCGACCATTGTGCAGAGGAATTAGTTACCACGATATCCTCTAGCTGGGTTGGTGTGCGCTAATTCCTCTAAATGTGTTTGCATGTTTCTGTTACCTGCATGCGTTAAACAAGTTACGTTATACACTTGTTTAGTTTTTGATCTTTAACTTGAGAAACTGTGCAAGTCTATATTGTTATTTGTCATGGAAACTGATTAAAGTATAGCTAAAGATTTACGTTGTGTCTTGGAACTGCAGCTATGGTCTTGCAATAGAATTTCAACAGCAAGCTATAGATGCCTGGGAAAGCCATGGAGCAGGTGCGGCAGATGAACTTAAAGAAGCTCACCGACTTCTCGAGCAATTGAAGCAAAAAGCCAGTGCTGCTTCTGCAAACGAGTTTCCCTCAAAGGCTCTGCCCTTACCTGATACACCTCAACCACCTAGCAGCTCCCAACCCAACATCTCATTTCAATCCAGCAGCAGAGTTTAGTTTATTAGACTTTACGTTTCTAATCATATGATACGGGTATTTGGTTGCTAGTTTCGAGTTTTCCTCACTTAGAAAATAGAGTTTTTTTCCCCCTTCAGAACTTAGAAAATAGGGTTTGGGAATGTCATCATAATTAAGAATTTGTTTTCTTTCACATACAAAATCCAACCTTTTGTCACAAGTAATCAACTTCCTTTTCATATAAATTACCTATTTTTTTTCCGAGCTTATAGAAGCAATGCAAGCCGGCTCCGGAATAAGTGATCAGGCGAAGAGACTCTATCATGCTAGCCATGTATTAGTGACATTGCTCTCTGATCTTGATGGGTGTTGTCTTGAAATATTTCTTGAATGTGCTTTCTTTTGGTCATAACTATAGTGGCTTCTACGAGATTGGGATTTCTTTCGTTGATATCTAATTACATGTTATCGAGAGATGTCAACGTTATGGCAATTAAGGATATTGACTTATCTAAGTTCATTTCTACTTTATGGGGGGTTGGGGGGGGAGCTTTGAAGAGAAAACGTTAGCATTTTATATCCCTTTTTCTCTTTCGTTCTTTTTTTTTTTTTTCCTCTCCTTATTTTCTCTAGCTATCCAAATAAGAAAAAGATGTGTTTTTTCTTCGCTCTATCTTTCCTTACTTATTCTCTCCAAACAGATAATAAAATTAGGATACAAAATAGTGGTTGATAAATATCTTTCCATGAATACTATTAAATTCGAGGGGAGAGAACAAAATGTTTGGTTTGATTAAAAGATGTGAGGATTGACGCCTTGTAACTGTCAGATTAGTGACAGATAATAATTAAAACATCCCCCGCATCTGAATTGCGATTCGCACTACATAGAATATAGCTTATAGGAAGTAACATGACAAACTCATTGGTTATGTCTCATTTATTTTACGAATCATCATTCCAACTTAAAATACAAGAATATGCGGGCCTGACAAAGCATCGATTAATGATGAGCTTGGACTCAATGTGCTCTCAAGTCTCTGTTTATGTAGTCTGGTCTATCTAGTTACTAAAATCAAACTGATGGATAAACTTGTTTCATCTTGGTACAATGTTCGATCTGTGCCTGAGGATTACATATTTCCACCAGAGACAAGACCAGGGAACCTCCATGTTCCTATAGGTGAAGTAATTCCAGTGATTGATCTCAGTGAAGCAGAGCGAGGTGATCGAACAGCTACCATTCAGAAAATTCTCAAAGCTGCTCAAGAGTTTGGATTCTTTCGGGTTCATATTATTTTATTTTTCTTCTACCTTGGTCTAAGCTTTGCAAAGTTCGACTACCTGTTATACAACTGAGTGATGAAATTTAAAGCAGGTGATAAATCATGGGGTTTCACAGAATTTAATGAATGAAGCAATGAGTGTGTTCAAAGAACCTTTCCAGTGGTCGAATGAGGCTAAGCAAAACTTGTACTCAGAGGATGTTAGCAAGCATTGCAGGCTCAAAACGTGCAGTATATATTGCACAACTGATAAGGTTCATCTCTGGCGGGACTTTCTGATGCACCCATGTCATCCTCTAGAAAAATGGCAGCATACCTGGCCTCTAAACCCAACTAGATACCAGTAAATGATACAGCCTCTTCAGCTGAAATCTAAGTTTTTATAATTACATATATATATATATATATATATATTTGTTGGGTTTAGCCCTAACTAATTGATTCTTGTGTGTTGTTAGAGAGTGCGTAGGAGCATGTTCAGTTGAAGTCAAGAAGTTGGCTTCTAGGATTCTGGCATTCATCTGTGAAAGACCTGGACTAAAATGTGGATATTTTGATGATGAACTTAGTGGAAGCATGATGCTTTCAGTTAATCATTATCCTCCATGTCCTCAACCAAGCTTGACTCTAGGTTCATCTAAGCATGCCGACTTGAATCTAATTACCATTTTACTGCAAGATGATGTCTACGGACTTCAAGTCTTGAAAGAAGACAAGTGGATTGGTGTTGAGCCTAATCCTCATGCATTTGTAGTCAATATGGGTTGCCTCTTGCAGGTACACACATGAATTTTTTTCGTCTTTTTCATATCAGAATCAAGAAACAGCTTTTGGATAGCAAATGAGGTTAATCATGTTTTTGGGGGTGCAGGTGATTAGTAACAACAAACTGAAAAGTGCAGAGCACAGAGTTGTGACAAATCCAAATACTGCTCGAACATCAGCTGCATTTTTCGTACTTTCTTTAGAAGACAGTATCATAGAGCCAGCAAAAGATCTTACGGATGTACTCCATCCTCCAATTTATAAACCGTTCAAAATTAAGGATTTCCTGACCCAATTCCTAGCAAAGAACGGTGACTCGGAGGCAGCATTAAGATCTGTTTTAGCATAACATCTGAGCGAGGGAAGAATTTTAATGTTGTTATATGTGTTTGTGCAGGCGATCTTTGGAATAAATGTGCGAAGTATTCTCTACTATTTCTAGCCCTGTCCACCTGCAAACTCAAAGTTGTGATGACAATGAATCCGAATGCTGTAAAGTTGAAGCTTTGAAATCGTGGAAATTGAACTCAATGTACTAGTAGAGTATTCAACTTCACCGGTTTTCCAACTTTAGAGGATCTAAAGTAATGATTAACAGTGATTTAAGAAAATGTTGGCACACAAAGATTGTTTTGAAATCATTTACTTTTCTTCTGCGGATAGAAACCTTAAAATTTTAATATGTTGGAGTTTTTCGTTTTTTTTTTGGGCGTCAAGCATATATTGGATTTAACAGCAATGGGATTACTTTTTCTGCTCATGTCTGATACGTTTGGAAAATAAACTGAACTCTAACTTTCGACTTTCAATGAAAATCAAAGCATAAGAACTTGGAATATTACAAATAGATCAAGCCGGGCACAGTTAAAAGTTATTAAATAATAGCGGAAGCATGTGATCATTAATAATGAAGGACTTACTTTCCAAATTCGTTTTATTTCTTGCTACTACCAAGATTCCTGCCTTCTTCCATCCTCTCCGCTTTTGCTCCCCTTTCTCTCATCAAGACACTGAAATCAAAATAATGGAGAAACTTATTTCAAATTGGTACGATGTGCGACCCGTGCCTGAGGATTACATATTTCTACCAGAAAAAAGATCAGGAAACGTTCACGTTCCCATATGGTGAAGGCATCCCGGTGATTGATCTCAGCGAAGCAGAGGAAGGTGACCGAACTCTTACCATTCAGAAAATTCTCAAGGCTGCTCAAGATTGTGGATTCTTTCAGGTTCAAGCCATAGAAGTTTTTCCATTTTTGTGTTCATGCCATAAGATTTCCAGAGGTAGATTGCTTGTTCCGACAATGTGATAAATTGTGAGCAGGTGATCAATCACGGAGTTTCGGAGAATCTAATGAATGAAACAAGTGTGCTGAAGGAGTTTTTCCAGACGCCGGTTGAGGCCAAGAAAAACGTGTACACCGAAGACTTTAGCAATAATTGCATTCTTTTTACCAGCAGCATAGGTTATGCAAACGAGAAAGTCCATCTCTGGCGTGACTTCTTGAAACACACTTGCCATCCTCTAGAGAAGTGGCAACATTCTTGGCCTGAAAGCCCAGCTAGATACCAGTGAATGATGCATCCTATTCAATAAAACTGCTCTACCCACAAATTTTACCTGAATTTTTGGGCTTAGTTACTTGCTCTGAATAGGTTTGTCTTCGTTGTTGTTTGACACAGAGATTGTCGGGGCATGTTCTGTTGAAGTTAAGAAATTGGCTTCGAGGATTCTGGGATTGATCAGTGCAGGACTCGGGTTGAAAAATGGATACTATGACGATGAACTAAGCGGAAGCATGGTAATGACAGCTCTTCACCATCCACCATGTCCAGAGCCAAGTCTGACTCTGGGAACGTCCGGGCATGTTGATGCTGATCTCATTACCATTCTGCTTCAAGATGAAGTACACGGCCTTCAAATCTTGAATGATGACAAGTGGATCGGCTTTTGACCTATTCCACACGCATATGTGGTCAACACGGGCGCCCTCCTTCAGGTACTCACTCTGACTATATGATGTACACTGTCTTACATATACATACACACGTATATATATCAGGTTGTGGTTAGCTGTGATTGATTTGGTATCCGGGAGTGCAGGTGATAAGTAATGATAAGGTAAAAAGTGCGAAACACCAGAGTGGTGACAAATAAAAGTAGATTTCGAACATCATCTGCATTTTTTGTGACTGCTGTAGAAGACAGTATACCAGCAGAAGCTGTTGTTGATGAAGTCCATCCTGCCATCCACAAACCCTTCACCGCTATGGATTTTGTTACTAAATTCCTTGAAAGTGATGCTGACACTGAGGCAACCTTTAATTATTTCAGGCCATGAAAAGGAAGAACACTTTTTGATGTTGCTTTAGGAAATTTTTGTATGTTTGATTTCAGTTGTTTGAGCAGGTGTTTTGCGTCTAAATATTTTCAAAGCCATTCTTTAAAAAAAAAAGAAAAAAGAAAAAACAAGAAATTGAAAACATTTTAATATCTTACAGTCATTTTCTTTTTTTTTTCTTCTTAAAAACACTATATTTAATCATTATAAGCTATTATCATCAATATCTATTACCATTATCCATCATTTATTGTTACCACTAATATTTATTATAAGTCACTAACAATTATCCTTGGTTGCAATTGGCTACTATCATTAGCTGTCACCTATCATCACAAACTGTTATTATTGATTACTACTAACCAACCAATTCTCACCTCTAGTCATTGTTGACTAACCACCATTGGCTACCATTATTACCACTAATCACGGCTAACAGTTATTATTAGACATCATTATTGATTGTCCTTACCACTAACCATTACCAACAACTATCGATAGCTATTGTTGTCGATCTTTGAAGCCATCACCATCAATTATTATGAATTACCATTTTCCACTATCATCACCCCACCTTGGTTGACAATTACCATTACTCATATCCAATTGATAGATCAAAATTTTTATCTATTTTTATCATCTTTACTTAGTCTTTTTATTGATGAACTGTGACTAATTGAGATAAATTAAAATATACTCCTTCGGTCTTTTTTATAAGTTATTTTTATCAACCTCTTCAATACCAATGCAAAAAAATACAAGGAATAAAAGTGTGTAAAATTTTATATATGCCTGTATATAGTAAATTCAAAAAGTAATGCCACGTTATTTTTTTTCTCTTATAAAGAGTAATTTTAAAAATAATTTTCAACTATTACTTAAAAAGCCACATCATAATTTATAAATGAAACCAAATGAGTCCTCTGAAATGTGATTTATAAATGGGACTGGAGGGAGTATTTTATTTTATTGGTCAATCTATATTTTGTTGAAATTAAATGATTAAATCTTAAAAATTTGTTATTAAATTATCCATTTAATATTTTTGCACATGTGACTATTGAATATTATTTTATTTTGTGCAGTTTTTTGGAGCTTAATTGGAAATGAAAGGTGGATATTATTTTGGGTAAAGATTATTGGGTTATTTGAAGATATTTCATGAAGATTTGATTTTAATTGTAGTTATATACTCATTTCGTTAAAGACGTAAGGTATTTTTAATTGAATTTTACTCTCAATAAAGTAATTATTTATTTTCAAACTAACTATATCTTTTTATGTTTATCCCTACAAACACCATAAAATAAATATAAAGTAATTTATTAAATATGAGCACTTCTAAAAAAAGATAATTACTACACTTCAAAAAAGTAAAAATGTCTTATATTTTTAAATATTTAAGCCCTCAAAAAATATTTTATATTTTTTAATAGAGAGAGTATATATATATATATATATATTTGGGGGGTCTCTTTGTATAGTTTTATTTTAGGGCTTCTTTTGGTAGTTTAGACTTTTTGTTTGTGAAATAATAGAGGAGGCGGGGTTCATATATCCCATTAGCCGCAGGACTTCTCTCTCGCCCTCGGTTCTCACCTCTCGCACGGAGCTCCTTCTTTTCTTTGATTTTCTTTGCTTCTTTCTCCATGGAGAGCTAGATTTCACTTGTAATCAGTTGCAATTTTAACCCTTGTGCTTAATCTGAATCTTTGGGCTTCATCCGAATCTGTTTTGGTTTGGCTCTTTTCGTTTCTCTCATGTTCTATGTTGTTTGATCCGATTGGACTATAATATTGCATGATTTTCGGTTTCTACTGCATGATTTGAGGTTGTTAAGTTGTTTAATCAACGGATTAGCTACTAGGGGTGATTGGGCTGAGCTTATACGTTAGTTTAATCTCTTTTCTTGGTGTGTTTTGTATTGGGACCGTCATTTGGTTACAAGTTGGATGGGATTTCAGACAATATGTGACTCGAGGGTTAGTTTAATCACTAGATAAATATTCGAGGATTTTTAGCGGTGGTCGATGGCAACAAGGTGAGGCGATAGAAGGTGATAATGGCAAATGATGATTTGTGGTAGATGGTGATTGATAGCGAAAGGCGTATTTTTCAAAAGAAGGTTGTTTTAAATGAATTTTTCAAATTTTGTAACTGTTTTCAAATTAATGTCATCAATTATTTTTCTTCTTTTATTTTATTTAAAAAATAACTTTTAAAAACTGATCTATAAAATAAAAATTTGAAATCAAGTCAAACAACCCTTTTGCATTTTTTTTTTTTAAATGTAGTTAGTTCATAGCCATCTTGGTTTGTCCATCTATTTGTCTGGGGTTTTTGTTTTTTGGGACAAAAGTCTTTTGCTGGTTTAACCATGGTCTTCTTTGTACCTTAACCAATACGGGCATTTCAGAAACGAATTGAAGGCATTATAGATTATGCTCTCTCTATTTTACTATTATTGTTTATTTATGCAATGCGCCTTCTATTTGTTTATTTAAATATTTAGTTGTTTTTCCCAGTTTTGTCTAAAAAATTATATAGTACTATATATCATTTAATAATCTTCTTATCATATCACTGTGTGTGTATTGAGTTTTAATTCAAAGTACCCCAAAAAAATTCAAAATATATTATAAATACTTGGACTTTTTTTTAATAGGGTCAATATAATGTCCAATATGTTGTAACATATTTTACTTCCTTCATTTAAAAATATAAGACATTTTTTGAAGAGTTAAATGTTTAAAAATATAAAATATTTTTAGTCTTTTGAGATGTTATTATCTTTTTTTAAAAAACACCTCTGGTGATAGTAATTTTATATTTATTATAAAATATTTAATAAAAATAAATATAAAAAATAAAATTAATTTAAAAATAAATAATTATTTTATTAAAAATAAAATTTAATTATATTTTTAAATAGATAGAATATTCAATAAATATACCTTGCAGTCGGCGAGGGCACAAGATCCTCTTAGATTATATACATAAACCACAGCTCACTCATGAATCCAACTAATAAGTTAAGCAAAAAGTAGAGGAAAAAAGTTTCAGACGTTACAGTTACATCACACATCTAAAAAAAAAAATTTGTATGCTCAAAAGTCAAAACTCATTTAATGATTGAAGAAGAAAATATTTTTTGATACATTTTTGAGTGAAAAGGAATTCAATAATCATGACGAAAAGAAGGCGAAGGGCCAAACAAAAAAAAAAAGAGGACCAGTAGAGAAAGAAACAAACGAGAACAGGCGATAAAAAAAATTACATCAGAATACTAAAAAAAGCAAAATGTCATGAGCTAGTCTCTCGACCCGTGTAGCACTTAAATAAATTTTTTTAAAAGTTATTAAATAAGCTTAACTTATAAAAAAAGAAGGATGCTTGGTTAAATTGAAGAAAGAGAAAATTTGAGGGCAAAAGATACTTGAAAAAGAGATTGGAGAATGTGAAAGTAATATTATTTTGAGAACTTAAGATTGATTACAAATGAGAAGGGGTGAGGTATTTATAAACCTCTCCTTGGATCTAGAAAGTTCGCACCTCCTTAATGGACAGTGGAGATTAAATCGATCTTACGGTTACAATTAATTCTCTAGAATCCTCTCCTAGATATTTACAACAAATATCTAGATATTTATATGAAAATATCTAGAGGCAAATATTAAAATATTGAAGATAGAGTTGTGTAGATTTCTCTAGAACATTCTTGCACTCTGTAACACTCCTAAGGTTATCCGGGAGCCTTCTGGAGGTTCTGGAATATTCCGGAGCTCCTTAACCTCATGAAAAGTCATGAATCGTGACATTCTCCCCCACTTAATTTCACGATGCCCTCGTCGTGTCTTCCTCCTTGTAATGCTAGATTTGGTCTGTGAACTGCCACAGGAGGTCTTCACGTTCCCAACTAGCTTCAGAGTCTGGTTGGCCCTTCCATTTGATTAAGTACTCGGTGTAGTTGAAAACTCCTCTCTTCCTGATCACCCTGTCGGTAAGGATTTTTCTATCTCCTTGTCGTACTTAGTGACGACCGTTGTTGGTGCTCTTTTAGAGATATCTAGGGATGGATCTTGTTCATCTCTACAGTATTTCTCCAAGAGACTAACATAGATGATAGGATGAATCTTAAGCTTAGGAGGGAGTTGCACCTGATACGCAACCTTTCCCACACATTTGATGATAGGGAAAGGGCCTTCATATCTCCTGACCAAGCATTTATGGACTTTGCGTAGTGACTTGAATTGATTCGGCGATAACTTCACCATGACCAAGTCACCAACTTGAAATTCAACTGGGCACCGCTTCTTGTCTGCCCACTTCTTCATTTTATGGGAGGCTTTGGCCAAGCATGCACGAATAATGTCGGCTTCTTCTTGCCATTCCTTAGTGAACTTATAGGCAGCTGGATTGTCTCTCTTGTATGGTATGGCAAGTGCGTTAGGGGTTAGAAGTTGTTGCCCGATAACTATCTCAAAAGGGCTCTTACCTGTCAACTCACTTCGCTACAATTGTAAGAGAATTGGGCCACATCAAGTAACTTGGCCCAATCTCATTGATGAGCACTCACGTAGTGCCGAAGGTAGAGTTCTAACAAAGCATTGATCCACTTTGTTTGTCCGTCGCTCTGAGGATGAAAGCTTGTTGAGAAGTTCAAATCTATCCTCAAGAGCTTGAAAAGTTCTCTCCAAAATTTCCTAGTGAATCGGGGATCTCGATCACTGATGATTCTTCGAGGAATCCCCCATAACATTATGACATGCTTAAAAAACAAGCGTGCCGCTTCATCAACTTTGCAATCTGCTGGGGCTAGTATAAAGTTGGCATACTTGCTGAATCTATCAACCACCACTATGGTACTCCCACATCCTTTAGACTTAGGAAAAGTAACTATGAAGTCCATTGAGACACTCTCCTATAGTCTTTCAGCCACTGGTAGAGGTTCGAGTAAACCAGCAGGATGTTATTGTTCAACCTTATCTTGCTGACATACTAAGTAAGTCTTCACATATGCTTCTACATCATCTTACATATGTGGCCAGTAAAAGTGATTTTGTACGAGAGCAAGCGTTCGGGTCATACCTGGATGTCCAGCCCACATTGAGTCATGGCACTCTTTGAGGACATTCTTTCGAAGGTTACCCCATTTCAGCACATAGACTCGGTTCTCAATGGTATAGAGTATTCCATCATTTACCCAGAATCTTTGACTCTTGCCTTCTGTAGCAAGCTTTACTAAGTCGCTTGTAGTAGAGTCTTGAGACATACCTTCCTTGATTCATTCAAGTAAGTCATTTTAGGGCATGCTTACTGAGAGAGTAGCTAACTCAGCTTTTCTGCTTAATGCATTCGCCACCACATTTGCTTTGCTTGGCTTGTACTCTAACCGATAATTAAACTTAGCAAGAAAATCTTGTCAACTAACTTACTTCAGGCTGGGCTTCTTTTGTGTTTGGAAGTAGCTCGTAGTAATGTTGTCTATCATTATAATGAACTTACTTCTAAGTAAGTAATGACTCCAGGCTCACAGATAATGGATGATGGCAGACATCTTCTTTTCTTGCATCGTGTAGCACTTCTATGTCTCATTTAGCTTGCAGCTCTCATACGCAATAAGGTGTCTTTCTTGCATCAATACACCCCCTATTGCAAAGTCTGAGGTATCAATGTGTACCTCAAACGGCTTGAAGTAGTCAGGCAAGGACATAATAGGCTCTTGTGTGACCATATGCTTTAGCTTATCGAAAGCATCCTAGCAATTTTGTGACCATTTCTAGGATCTATTCTTCTTGAGTAAATCTGTCAATGGAGCAGTAATTGTTGAATACCTCTTGATGAATTGATGATAGTAGTTTACTAGACCAAGGAACGATCGTAGCTTTGAGACCTTGGTGGGAGGTTGTTAGTCTTGGATGGCTCGAACCTTAGTTGGGTCTATCATGAGCTTCCCATCCTTGATCTTATGCCTCAACAAGTCCACCTCTTGTTTGGCAAGAGAATATTTTTCCAACTTAATGTAGAGTTCGTAATCAGAGAGTACCTGGAAGACTTTCTTCAAATGTTGAGCATGCTCTTTAAGGGTATTGCTGCACATGATGATGTCATCCAAGTATACCACCACGAACTGGTCCAAGTAAGGGTGGAACAACTTGTTCATGAGTGTGCAAAATGTTATTGGGACATTCATTAGTCCAAAGGGCATGACAAGAAATTTGAATGCTCCATATCTCGTCACGTAGGTTATCTTCGACTCGTCACCTGCGGCAATACGTACTTGATAGTATCTCGATTGAAGATCAAGCTTAGAGAAGTACTTGGCCTTTCCAAGCTGATTGAACAAGTTAGTGATCAAAGGTATCGGGTACTTGTTCTTGATTGTAATCTTGTTCAAGGCCCTGTAATCGATACATATCTGCAACGATCCATTTTCTTCTTCTAGAAGAGGACTGGAGCACCATATGGGGCCTTGGATGGTTGGATGTACCCAGGATCAAGGAGATCTTGGAGTTGTCTCCTTAACTTAGCAAGTTCTGGAGGTGACATGCGGTACGGTGCCAGGGTACGTGGTTTGTCACCAGGCTCTAACTCGATTTGATGGTTTACTTCTCTTCTAGGAGGTAGTTTCTTGGGCAACTCATCCAGCATGACGTGCTTGTACTCTCGTAGTACCTCTTGAATGTAAGGTGACAAGGTTTCCAATGGATTGGTTGTGCTATCCTCTTCCTTGACCAATGAACATACGGTGACAACATATCCTTCTGAATTCTTGAGACCCCTCTGAAATTGTAAGGCAGAAATCATAGGTTCGGATTTCTCCAAGCGCTTCAAGGGGATTACTCGAATCATATTGGAGTTGATGACTACCATAGACTTGGCTTCAGGAATAGGGAAGGCATGTGCTTTGCAAAAAAAAAAATCCCAACACAACTTTGAAATCATCCATAGGGACAGTAGAAAAGTCTAACGTACCTTGCCAGTCCCCTATCTTTACTTTCACATCCTTGGTGATCCCAAAGACTTGTTTAGCTAGGGAGTTTACTACCTTGATGTTGCCTTCTCCCTTGTTAAGTTGGATGCCCAATCTCCTTGCTTCTTTGACCTTCATGAAGTTGTGAGATGCTCTTGTGTCAAGCATGGCAGAGGTAGTCTTGCCTTTGATGGCAAGATTCGTATAGAGTAGATCCTTCTCTTCCTTCTTGGATGGAGAAAAGAGCCCAGTCAGTGTATTCAAGTGTTGGAGGAAACTAAGGTTGACTTGTTGCTCCTTGTCTCGCCTTTCCTTCATTTCAACAACCAAGGCATTCATAGCCTTACGGTTGGGGCAGTCGTGAGTCTAGTGTGGACCATCGCATATGAAGCATGACTTTGGTGGCTTTGAGGCATCACGTTTGCTTGAGGATGGCTTATCTTATTTAGAACCTCCACCAAAGGATTTACCACCATCCTTACGATCAGAGTTCTTCTTTTATCCTCCTTTGTCTCCCCCACTCTTACTAAGATTAGACCTTTTGGACTTAGTAGAGTGGTTGATTAAGCACTTAGCGGTCGCAATTGCCTCATCTAGAGTTTGCACCTTGCGTCTGTCGAGCTCTACTCTGGCCCAGTCTTTGAGTCCGTCCATGAAGTGAAAAAGAGCTTCCTTATCGGACAGATCCTCAATCTCGAGCATGATAGTAGTAAACTCTTTGATGTAGTCAAGAATACTACTAGTTTGTCTCAACCTATAAAGCATACCTTGAGCCTCCGTCTTAGCATTGTGGGGAATAAAGTGCTTTTGGAGTTCTGACTTGAACAACTCCCATATGTTGAGAGTATAGATGCCCTTCTCTCTTTCAGCATGCTTTCTGCGCCACCATAGTTGGGCTGCATCCCGAAGGAAAGTCGAAGCATAGTTGATTCTGATCAAGTCATCAGTGACTCCCATAGCCTTAAAGTACTGTTCTAGGCTAAAGAGGAAGTTCTCCATAACTATAGCACTGCAAGCCCCCTTGTACATTGACGGCTTGGGCACTTTCAGACCTTGAGAAATGGTGTTCGAAGTACTACCACTAATAGGGCTACTTACACAGCGATGAGATTCCCACTCATGACGAATCTCATCTATTTGAGAGTGTAGACCTCGCACTTCATCCTTGACGTATTTGCAAAGATCGGTGAGATCTTGGGTAAGGGAACAAATGTCTTCCCCCATATTACAGCCAAGTTCTTCAATCATCGACTTGGCAACATGCGTGACCTCATCATTCTCTTCAATAAGATTGCTAAGTTGATCGTCGAGTTCCCTTATAGTAGTTCTCACTTCCTCCATATGAGATTCCAAGCCAACAACACGAGGTTCAAGGGACTCACCTGTAGGTGCCCTGCTCCTACCTCACTTGGACTTGGTATGAGCTTGTTCCTCTTGTACACAAGCTTGCTCTTGCGCTTTCACGCTAATGTTTCCTTCCTCGGTTGCCATTGTGCAATACCTTCTTTCAAGCACAATGATAGAATCGTGCTCTAATACCAACTGTCACGGGGCTAATCTCTCGACTCGTGTGGCACTTAGACAAACTTCTCTAGAAGTTGCTAAGTAAGCCTAACTTATAAGAAAAGGAGGATGCTTGGCTAAGTTGAGAAAAGAAAAAGCTTGAGGGCAAAGGATACTTGGGAGAGAGCTTGGAGAATGTGAGAGTAGTATTACTTTGAGAACTCAAAATTGGTTACAAATAAGGAGGGGTGAGATATTTATAAACCTCCCATTGGATCTAGAAAGTTTCCACCTCCTTAATGGATGGTGGAGATTAAATCGATCATACGGTTGCAATTGATTCTCTAGAATCCTCTCCAATAAATATCTAGATATTTACAATAAATATCTAGATACTTACAACAAATATCTAGAGGCAAACATTAAAATATTGAGGTTAGAGTTGTGTAGATTTCTCTAGAACATTCTTGCACTCTCTAGCACTCTTAAGGTTATCCGGGAGCCTTCTAGAGGGTTCTGAAACATTCCGGAACTCCTTAACCTCATAAAAAGTCATGAATCGTGACAAAAAGTCTTTAAAGTATGGTCAACAATGATTCTAGCATGGCATAGTGTCTCTTCCGGAGTGAAAGTGTTACCCGCAAAGATACCATAATTTTGAGCTGTCCAGAGTTTTCAGCATAAAACGTTAACACTAATCTCCTAGGAAACATCAATGCTCTTGCTTGTTAGCAGATTTGTAAGCTAATGATGTAGACTACTTCTGTAAAAATCAGCACGCATATCATTTGGCAAGACTTTCTTCCAAACTCCAGTGGCTAATTTACAATCCTTGAAAATGTGATCAATAGATTCTTCCACAGCAGGACATAAAAGACAAGATAGATCAGCAATCATTCCTCTTTTATTTCACTCAACATTAGTGAGGAGCTTGCCTTTTAGTAATAGTCATAAGAAAGTTTTGATCCTTTGAGTCATTGGTAATTTCCAGATATATTTCCATTTAGCATCAATATCATTTCAGTTGGTTTAGTTGGATGCTCTGTAGAGGGATTTAATGCTATGCAGCTTGAGAATAACATGATGGCCGGCTAAAACTGAAAAAATGGTAAATGATGAAATCTATTTATGAAGTACAAGCGAATGGTTCATGCTAATTCATTTCCAACTGCTAAAACATTCTCGAGTTCCTTCGTTATTCACCCTGATCAATCCTGTGATCCATGGAGAACCTTGTTTCAAATTGGTACAATTGGCGATCTGTACCTGACGATTACATATTTCCTCCAGAAACGAGACCAGGGAACCCCCATGTTCCACTAGCTGAAAGCATCTCAGTGATTGACCTCAGCCAACCAGACAAAGGCGATCCAACCCTAACCATTCAGAAAATTATCAAGGCCGCTCAAGAGTTTGGATTTTTCCTGGTTCATGCCGTACATATCTCATATATATATATATATATATTGGTATTTTTCCGGTTTGGTGAAAGAACAAGAAAATTTACAATGACGTGTGTGATGATTGAAAATATAGGTGATCAATCATGGGATTCCGGACAATATGATCTGATCGATGAAACAATGAGTGTGTGGAAGGAGTTCTTCCAGTTGCCGGCGGATGCCAAGCAACACTTATACACAGAGGGTTTCACCGCCAAGGATTGCTGGCTAGCTACGAGCACTCTAAATTATGTTACCGAGAAGGTTCATCTATGGAAAGTCGCTCTCAGACACTCATTTCATCCTTTAGAGAAGTGGCAGTATAGGTGGCCTCAAACCCCAGCTAGATACCAGTAATGGACTATATATGATCTCCCCTCTAAACCCAAAATACTTCTCCGTACGTGTTATTACTGTCTCTGTTCTTATTGGGTTCGGTCTGACTTGTATCAGAGAGTGTGTTGGAGCGTGTTCGGTGGAAGTTAAGAAGTTGGGTTCCAGGATTTTGAGGTTAATCAGTGAAGGACTTGGACTGCATGCTGAATATCTTGAGGGTGAATATAGCCAAGCGACGATCCTATCTGCTAATCATATGCAACATATCCTGAACCAGAATTGACTCTAGGAGTATCCAAGCACGCTGATCCTTTCATCATAACCCTTTTACTCCAAGATGACTATGGACTTCAAGTGTTGAAGGGTGTTCATCCTATCCCGCATGCTATTGTGGTCAATATAGGCTCCCTGTTGCAAGTATCTACAGACAGATCTAATAATTCTTCATTCACTCTAGCTAGCTAGGTCAGATCAGCTAGAATTAAATAACTGATTTCAATGACAGCAAATGATGGTGTTAAATAATGGTTAAGTTGATTATATGTTGAGGATGCAGGTGATCAGTAGCAGGAAGTTGAAAAGTGCAGAGCACAGAGCCGTGACAAATTCGAGTAAAGCTCGAACTTCGGCCGCATTTTTCATAGGTGCTTCGGAGGAGAGTATTGTAGAACCAGCAAAAGCTCTCATTGATGAACTCCATCCTCCGATTTACAAATCCTTCAAGCGCAAAGATTTTCTTTCTAAATTATATGCAACTTACGGTGACTCACAAGCCACGCTAGAATTTTTCAAGGCATAACACCGAAGGATGTATATATCAGAATCTCTGTGTATGTTCCTTTTTTTGTTCTATATATAGGCCTCATTTTAAGATGGATCTGCTTGCAACCTCCTTGGTGTGTTTACTTATATGTTTGTTTTCAATATAATATGCGCGCATGAAGGGAATTAAAAATATAAGAGAAGTTTCAATATATGTATCCAACCAGCTGTAGCAAAAGAAGTCAGAGAATGACATCGAGATTCTTGTCTTGTGCGAATATGCTGGTGTATATCTTTGAAGACTAAATCATATGAGCTAAATAACATCTGATGTTTTTTTAATGTAATATGTGTTTTAAGGATGATTATATAATTATTTAATATTTTTATTCCATGTACAGTTCTATTGGTTCCACGTTTTTCTACTCAAAGTAAAAAAGTTTTCTATTTCGGATCAGCCCTTGGATATCCGTAATGGTTGTTATGGTCAAACCCTAATTTACCTTTTCTTCGTTAATTCAACCAAACTTCGAATTTAATCCTCACATTTCTATACTTTTTACCGGAATTCCTATCTTTAGTTATCTAATCATGCCTCTTTTACACTTTAGATCATTTTCTTCAACTTTCTGTTCCAGAGAAGTCCTCCTCGAAAAAAATAAAAAACCAAGAGCTAAATTTTAACTCTAATTTTTATAAGTGTTGTTTAGTTTACGGAAAGTTGACGAGGGAAATGAGAGAAAATAAAAAGAAAAGGAAAGATATGATTAAAGTAGATGTGTTTGGTTGGCTGTGGAAATTACAAATGCTTAATAGGAAAAAAAATAAAATAAAAAGAAAGTTTGGTTTGTAAGAAAAATAGAAAGGCAAGAAACATAAGATTGTAAAATTTCCAAAATGCCATTTATTTTGAAAAATAATAACGCACGATCATGTTCAAGTTTTTTAATAATAGAATCTACAAAATAATTATTTTTATTATAAACTAACATTTTAATTAATTTAAAGTTAAAATTGGCACTGAACATTTATATTTTAATTATAATAATTTTTATTAAGTGGATATAATAGAGATGATATCAATCTATACCTCCTTACATATATTTTAATTAGAATAATTTTTCAAGGCTTTGACAAGAGGTGATTCTCAAAGCACTCCGAACTTGGATGCTTTGAAGGATCCTCTCCAGATTGCAAGGAATCTATCTGTGAAGAAAGTGGAATTTCCACTGAGGGGAAGGTGGACTCATCCTCCAAGCTTCAAGAGAAAATAAAAATGTCAAAAGACTATATCGATCGTGGGAATGCTTTGAAAAACAAAAAAATAATTTAATTATTGAATTGAAGGAGAGAGAACGGAAAATAAAACACGGCACGAACCTCCTCCTTTTTTGGTTCTTTCTGAATACAAACCAATAACAAGAAAGTCAACAGTCAGAGGCAGTGTAACCAAAATACATATGTAGGTGAAGCAGGGCGGGTTCCTGCAATCGTCGCGCTTCGTTGACCCCTCGTTTATCGACTCTATGCCATAGCTGGAGCCTGGAAGCTATCTACTGAGGCTCTGTTCCACTGCTTGTCTTCTAGCACGGCACACATCCTCGCATTTGCGGTAAGGCAAGCCGTCGGTGATGGCTGGATAAGCAACTTTTTGCATTCACCAATAAAGTATGAACATTATTCGTGCGATCGCCAACTCTGTTTCTACTTTCTAACTTATCCTTTGCCAGCTTCTTCTTTCTTTGTTGATTTATATGATATTTAAGATATATTTCTGGATTGTTGATTACTGGAGTTTTTGGCCTTCGATTTCAAGTTTTATGGGCTTGTGGTTATAGCCTTTCAGGGATTTTTGTTTCAATTTCTCTTTTCTGCAAATTAGCCATGGTTTGGTGCCTTTAATGGAGCAGCAGCAAATGGCATTTTGGTCATTTTAAGTTGCTTTCCCTCTCAAGAAACATGTCTCTTCGCATTCATGGAATGAAACCTGTCTGCCACCAATGCAGGAAACCAGTCTCCTGACTAAGCCACTGTTTCTTCCCTTCCATGACAACGAAATACCTGGGCCGCTGCAAACCCTCGAGCCTTGACTTTTTCCCTTTCCCTCGCTAACTTTTCAAGAACCAATATTGTTGTCGCTGTTGCTGTCCTTATGAGAACAAGACGTGGTTTTTTTCTTTTAAATGGTCAAGAAAAGTGTAAGGAGTAGAGCAATCCAATAATTGAACCTTATTTTTATGGCTGGGATACCAATAACTGTGCCTAGTACACAGTTTGCTCCAGTGGGAGACCTTGTACTGCATCAATGGGGAACTTGGAACAAGGCTCTAGTGACATGCTTATATGATAGACCAACTGAACAGAAAATTCTGGCATCTCCCTTTTCGGATAGAGCTCTATTGAATGAAAGTAATGTGGTGGGTCCTAATATAGAGCTCTTTTATTTAAAGTTTTATGTGATGTTATGGGAAGCACGTTTTAAGGCCATAGGCTAATTGTAACCTCCCTGGTTGTTAACTATTTGTCACGGATGATATTTCCGTGACCGTGTAAAGACCAAGATAATGAACGGTCCGCTGGTTAGCCTCGTACAATATGGGTAAAGGGGGCGACATTAGCATTGGGGTTGTTCTGCCTCAGTCTTCGGACTGTGTGCACAACTGGTCGGGGGCTAGTGCCGCCTCCCTGATGAGCCCATGGCAGGGCGAAACCAGTGTGATCCGTACGTGGTAAGGCTTGTCCTGAGGATTATGGGGTCCTCCAGGACGCCGCACGGGCGCCGTGTGCTGCGCCAGACTCTCAGCCCGTGACATATTGCTGTCATCAGATAGCACCACTTGAAACTAACCTGTTCACGTCTATCCAAGAACATGTTAGATTAATGGTAAACTTCATGCATATTATAAACCAATTTGAATATATATATATATATATATATATTGGAATCAGATGGACCATTAAGGTCATGGGTTAATGATGGGCTCTATTTAAATACAAATCAATATAGCTCACTCCCTGTTGATAGAACATTCTTGAGTTTCTTTATTTTGCACCCTGTCGGTCAGCAATGGAGAAACTTGTTTCAAACTGGTACAATGTGCAACCTGTGCCTGAGGATTACGTGTTTCCACCACAAATAAGACCAGGGAGCGTCCGTGTTCCTATAGGTGAAAGCTTCCCAGTGATTGACCTCAGCGAAGCAGAGAAAGGTGATCGAACCCTTACCATGCAGAAAATTCTCAAGGCCGCTCATGAGTTTGGATTCTTCCAGGTCCATGACATAACTTCTATTTTGGTTGGTTTTTTCCACTTTGATGAAAGAATAAGAATTTTCAAAGCTGGATCAATTATATTGCTGCAATAACGTGTGCTGATTGAAAGTATAGGTGATCAATCATGGCATTCCGAACAATCTAATAAATGAAACAATGAGTGTGTTGAAGGAGTTCTTCCAGTTGCCAGCGGAGGCCAAGCAGCACTTAGAGGGTTCTGGTATGAAGGATTTCAGGTTCATTAGGAACAGTGTAACTTATGCTGCAGAGAACGTTCATATATGGAGGGACTGTCTCAAACACCCATGTCATCCTTTAGAGAGGTGGCAGCATATGTGGCCTCAAGCCCCAGCGAGATATCAGTAATGGATGCTGCCCTCTAATCTAAACCCAAAATGCTTTTATATGTATGCTTTTATATATTTCTTTACTTATTGGGTTGGTCTGATTTGTATCAGAGAGTGTGTTGGGGCGTGTTCGGTGGAAGTTAAGAAGTTGGGTTCCAGGATATTGAGCTTAATCAGTGAAGGACTTGGGCTGGATGGTGAATATCTTGAGGGTGAATATAGCCAAACTATGACACTTTCCGCCAATTTCTATCCAACATGTCCTGAACCAGATTTGACTCTAGGAGTACCCAAGCATGCTGATCCTAACATCATAACCCTTTTACTCCAAGATGGCGTCTATGGACTCCAGGTGTTGAAGGATGATACGTGGATTGGTGTTGATGCTAACCCCCATGCAATTGTGGTCAATATAGCCTCCCAGTTGCAGGCATATACACACTCTTAATTTCTTACCGTCTAAAATTTTTCATTCATTCTAGATCAACAGAGTTCAGAATGTGTAGGAATTGAATAGCTGATTTCGATGATAGCAAACGATGGTCTTAAATAATGGTTAATTTGATTGTGTTGAGGATGCAGGTGATCAGCAACAGCAATTTGAAAAGTGCAGAGCACAGAGCCGTGACAAATTCGAGTGAAGCTCGAATTTCAGCTGCATTTTTCATATGTGCTTCGGAGGAGAGTATCGTAGAACCAGCAAAAGCTCTGATTGACGAGCTCCATCCCCCGATTTACAAGTCCTTCAAGAGCAAAGATTTTCTTTCTAAATTCCAAGCAACTTTCGGTGACTCACAAGCCACACTAGAATTTTTCAAGGCATAATACTCAAGGACATCAAAATCCCTGTGTGTTCCTTTAATTTTTTTATTATAAATAAATATTCTTTTATTAAAAGCAATCCTATTCGATATAGGCTGCATTTTAAGATGGTTTACTTATGTTTTTTGAGTGGTTTTGTGATTTAATGAGCTTTTTTTTTTAATCTAGATTGTTTATGTGAAACTTAAGAGTGATTTTCTCAAATAAATATAGTGATCGAATAATCTTATCTATACTTTATCTGTTTTCTTTTGTTCTGTCTTGCTATTAAGAAAAGTACCTCTTTTATTTCAAGTTTCATGAGACGTTGGGAAGTATATTTTAAGGCGGAAGGCTAATTGTAACATCTTCTGGTTTTTAACCTTTACTTTCATTAGATAGTACTTGTTGATAATAACCCATTGGCATTTATCCGAGAACATATTAGATTAGTGGTAAATTTCATATATATATATATATATATATTATATAAAGCAACTTGAAAAATTATGTACAAGAATATGGAATCCAATGGAGCATTGAGGCCATGGGTTAGCGATGAGCTCCATTTGAATACAGATCAATAGCTCGTTCATTCCAGTCAAAGCATATGACTTAGCATTGACTAAAGCCACCTCAGCGATTGCAAAGTACAATCACGTGATACACCAATATGATTTGCTGTTGTATATTTTATTAATATTAATTGGTTGTTTTAAGAGAAGCATAAGCTGAGAAACCATTTTTGTATTTGGTCCATGAGCTTCCAAACATGCGTCTGTTTCACCGCTCCCTCTCACATTTTCCACCCTCTTCCAAATTTGTCCCTGCACTTTTCTCATGTGTTTTTCACTTACGCTGAGACAACAAACATAAATCAAACCCAACTTACGTATTTAAGTTGAGATCAATTCTTTAGCCTTATCTAGACCTCATGTTACTTGATATGTGTGTGGTGGAGTAACTTCAGCATAAGAAATGCTGTATTTTTCTGTTAGGATTTTCCCCCTTCTTCACTCTATATATAAGCGGTTTTATACTCTGCAATTAGATGAGAAATGAATAGAATAATATCACTCTCCACCAGAGCCAGCAGCTCCTAATAATGCTCTTCTACTAATTTTGATTCATCTCTTATTTCCACTAGGTCTCCTGCTGCCCTGTCTAATTTGTCTCATTTATTGATAAAACATTCTTGAGTTTCTTGGTTTTGAGCCCTGTCGATCAGCAATGAAGAAACTTGTTTCAAACTGGGACCATGTGTATGCCAGAGGATTACGTGTTTCCACCAGAAACAAGACCAGGGAGTGTCCATGTTCCTATAACTGAAAGCTTCCCAGTGATTGACCTCAATGAAGCAGAGAAAGGTGATCCAACGCATACTATGCAGAAAATTCTCAAGGTAGCTCAAGGGTTTGGATTCTTCCAGGTTCATGCCATAACTTCTGTTTTTTTTTTCCCGGTTTGGTGAAAGAATAAGATTTTTAATTAAAAGCTTGATTAATTGTAGTAATAACGCGTCAGGATTGAAAGTATAGGTGATCAATCATGGGATTCCAGAGAATCTAATGAATGAAACAATGAGTGTGATGAAGGAGTTCTTACAGATGCCAGCTGAGACCAAGCAGCGCTTGTGCTCAGAGGGTTTTAGCATGAAGGATTGCAGGCTCATTACGAGCTCTATAACTTATGCTACAGAGAAGGTTCATCTATGGAGGGACTGTCTCAAGCACCCATGTCATCCTTTGGAGAAGTGGCAGCATATATGGCCTCAAATCCCAGCGAGATACCAGTAATATAATGGATGCTACACTCTAAACTCTAAATGCTTATATGTCTGCTTTTTTATTTGTTTCTTTACTTATTGGCTTTAGTCTGATTTGTATCAGAGAGCGTATTGGGGCGTGTTCAGTGGAAGTAAAGAAGTTGGCTTCTAGGATCTTGAAGCTTATCAGTGAAGGACTTGGACTGGATGGTGAATATCTTGAGGGTGAATATAGCCAATTTATGACACTATCCGCTAATCATTATCTGCCATGTCCCCAGCCAGATTTGACTCTAGGATTATCCAAGCATGCTGATCCTCATATCATAACTCTTTTACTCCAAGATGACGTCTATGGATTTCAAGTGTTGAAGGATGATACTTGGCTTGGTGTCCATCCTAATCCACATGCAATTGTGGTCAATATAGGCTCTCAGTTGCAGGTATTTTGTAGTACACTCTTTGATTGCATAGTCCATAACTTTTCATTTAGCGTAGAAATTAAACAACTCGTTTCACTGTTCATTTGATAGCAAATGATAATGTTGAATGAGGGTGCAGGTGATCAGTAACAAAAAGCTGAAAAGTGCAGAGCACAGAGCTGCGACGAATTCAAGGGAAGCTCGAACTTCAGTTGTATTTTTCATAGGAGCTTTGGAGGAGAGTATTATAGAGCCCGCAAAAGAACTGGTTGATGAACTCCATCCTCCAATTTACAAGCCCTTCAAGAACAAACACTTTCTCTCTAAATTCTATGCAAGTAACGGTGACTCCCAAGGCACGCTAGAAATTTTCAAGGCATGACTTCAAAGGATCAGAATATTTATGTCGTGTGTTCCTTGTGTTCTGGGCTGCATTTTATGATGATTTACTTGTAACTTCCTTAGTGTTTAATTATTTTCCCCTTCGGTATATTATATATGCCCGCATGAAGGAATCGAAATTAGAAGAAAAGTTTCATTGTCAATTGTACTTGTTAAGGGAATACCAAATTGGGCCAAAAAAAAAAAAAAACAAAAACCATCAAAACCAAACCGGTCAAATTTAACGAGTACGATGGCGCAAACGGGACCAACAAAACCAACCTGTTGAAGCAAAAGAAGACTGCGAATGGAATCTACAAGTGTCCACACTTCAGCATGAAAATTTTATCAATAGTTGAAAATTCATACTTGATTAGAAATAAATAAAATGGTGAGTTAAAAAGGGTGGTTTTGTGAGGATGTATTCCAATGATTTCTCTGCAATCATGTAAGACGTTGGATTAATGAGAAGGTGCGGGAGCAAGGTAAAGCCATGATTTGATGTTCTCTTTGCATTTTGTGTTAATATCTCCATCAATCATTTGACTGAATCGAGTATATCTTTATAAAATAACTTCATCATGCTAATTTTATATGACAGCTGGTGTATTTCTTGTTGGACTAAAATGCATCAATTAAATAACATCTCATAATTTCTTATTGGGAGAATGATAAATAAATTTTTCCAAAATACGAAAATAAAAATTTGATTTAACGAAATGTAATAATGTCTTATAAATCCTAAAGGGCTATATTGTCATTAAAATTTTTGATGGAATGATAAAAATATCTTTTAATTTAAAAAAGTAAAAAAAATGACAAGAGAAAATTGTGAATACTTAAATTACATTGTGAGAGGTTAATTATTTCCGCGAACAAAACCTTAGTTGGTCGTAAGGATTTGTTTTGAAATGGCAAAGAAAAGGGAAAGGAGCATTGACCCGAAGTCTAAAAAACGGGAAAGGAGTAAACCACTAATTGGATTTTTTATTTTTATTTTTTGGGGCTGAAAACCAACAATTGCACTGAGTACACTTTCTGTAAAACTCAAGTATAAGAAAGGATGACTTAAATCGAAGTTCTTAATATTAATTACTGTTTTAAGAAAAAAAACTAGTTGGGTCGTACTTCACCAAATCAATTATTCTTGAAAACTAAATAAATTAAAGTACATTGAACACCTGATCTTGTCTCTTACTTCATTTCTTATGTTTTGTCTTGTCTTGCAGGAAAGCATCTTTTTTATTTTAAGTTTCGTGTGATGTTATGGGAAATGTATTTTATGGTGATAGGCAAATTGTAACTGTCTTGGTTGTTAACTATTGCATTCATCATTAGACAACACGGTTGATACTAATTAATATATCCAAGAACATGTTAGATTAATGGTAAACTTTGTACGTTGTGATGTGATGCAACTTGAAAATATATATAGGAATCCGATGGACCACTAAGATCATGGGTTGATAATGAGCTCTATTTAAATACGAATCAATTGGTCACACTAGTTCATTCTCAACTGAAAACATTCTTGAGTTTATTTGTTTTGCACCTTGTTGATCAGCGATGGAGAAACTTGTTTCAAACTGGTACAATGTGCGGCCTGTGCCTGAGGATTACATATATCCTCCAGAAAAAAGACCAGGGAACATCCATGTTCCTAAAGGTGAAGGCATCCCGGTGATTGATCTCACTGAAGCAGAGAAAGGTGATCCAGCACTTGTAATTCAGAAAATTCTCAAGGCTGCTCAAGAGTTTGGATTCTTCCAGGTTCATGTTCCTTTTCATTAGTTTCTTTTTCTCAATCTCTGTCAAAAGTCTAAGGTTGGCAATGATAGATATCATGTTACAAAGCAGGTGGTAAATCATGGGGTTTCAGAGAATCTAATGGATGAAACATTAAGTGTGGTGAGGGAGTTCTTCCAGATGCCAGATGAGGCCAAGCAACACTTGTATACTGAAGATTTTAGCAACAAGTGTATTTATTTCACGAGCTGTGAGAATTATGCTAATGAGAAGGTCCATATGTGGCGAGACTTCTTGCAGCACCAGTGTCATCCCCTAGACAAGTGGCAGCAATTTTGGCCAGTAAGCCCAGCCAGATACCAGTACGTAAATGATGCACCCTCTTCAATAAAAGTGCACTGCACTCACAAATTTTATCTAATTTTTGGGTTTGATGTTGTTGACAGAGAGATTGTCGGGGCATGTTCAGTAGGAATTAAGAAATTGGCTTCAAGGATTCTGGGATTGATCAGTGAAGGACTTGGCCTGGAACGTGGGCATTTTGAGAATGAACTAAGCGGATGTATGGTGCTGACAGCTCTTCAGTATCCACCATGCCCTGAACCAAGCTTGACTCTGGGAACTTGCCAGCATGATGATGCCAATCTCATTACTTTTCTCCTTCAAGATGAAGTTTCAGGACTTCAAATCTTCAAAGATGGTCAATGGATTGGCGTTGAGCCTGTTCCGCATGCTTTCGTGGTCAACGTGGGCTGCCTCCTGCAGGTCCACACTTTTCACTCAAAACTGTCTTCACTCTGAGTTTGGTTCATGCTTTGCTAATTAACATTAGTTTTATATAGATAAGGACTAGGATAAGTTATGATTAATGGCTGCGTTGGAGTGCAGGTGATCAGTAATGACAGGTTAAAGAGTGTGAAACACAGAGTGGTGACAAATGCGAGCAGATTTCGATCATCAGCTGCGTTTTTTGTGACGGCTGTGGAGGGAAGTGTGATAGAACCAGCAAAAGGTGCTATGGATCAACTCCATCCTGCCCGCTACAGACCCTTCACACCTAAGGATTTCTACATGAAATTCTTTGAAAACGATGCTGACACGGAAGCAACTTTTAATCATTTCAGGGCTAGCTTGACACCATGAGTCAAATAAATAATGACAATCTAGCAGTTTGTGAAGTTTGTTTACAGCTTTGTTCGCTTGTCTATGTTCAAATAACCAGCCACCAGCGTGCGTGGGAGTTTATTACTGTATTTTCATTCCTTTGGTGTAGCTTTATAATAATTATCTTTTATTCAAATCCTAAAAATTAGCAGACTAAAGTTACAAATTATTGTCTAAAGCTAAATAAACTAAACCATTTCTCTCTAAATTTCAATCAGACAGTAATAGTTAAACATTAATTAGCACCAACATCAATGTCATAATTATACAAAAGAGTTCTTTAAGTAATAAAATAATAAAAATCATAAATTTCTAATTGAAATCATAAAATCATAAGTTATATAAATATAAAAATACTCTGTCAGAAATATAATTTAAAAATATTAACATACATAACATAAATTAAATAATTATCTAAATTTGAAATCAAACAATTCTTTAAAGTTCAAATAAATAAACCATCATTCAAAATTGAACAAACCAAACCATTATGCTAAGTTTAATTCTAAAAAAATGGACAATAACAATTAAATATTTGAAGCATCATGAACAATGTTAAAAATATCAATAATATTAATATTATTAACAATATTTAAAATAGGGTTAAAAGATAAAAAAAATATTTATGAACTTTTTCTCTAAGCCCCTAATATCTCTTAAGTAAAAGATGGTGCAAAAATAGCTATAATGTTAATTTAATTAGTGCAACTGTCTCGAAAATCGTTAAAGAGCTCAACGTCCATTATATTCTTGACCGTCATTGCCACGTATCCCATGCCAAATCCCTCTCTCCCTTGAATCTCAAACCATTGAATTCATGAGCGGGGAGCACCTTGATTCCGGCAAGCCAAAACCCAAAAAAGAAGCCTTGTCCATCTTGGATATATTGGGCACAACGAATCTTAGAGCATAGAACTGCTGGTTCGGCTTCTCATGCCGTTGTCTCTTTGCTTCCCTAAGATTCAAGGGCGTCCCTTCCATTGGCAGGCTTTCTACCCTGTTTCCTTGTCCTCCTTTCATCTGTTGCATCCTGTTGCTCTTCTTTGCATGAAGCTTCAACATTTGATAACTCTGTTTTAGCATTGATTAGTCTTACAATAGGCCTTGAAATGGCTCCAGATTGAGAAACCAATCTGCATTTGCGCTTGCCTTTGTGGTTGGTAGTTGCTAAGCCAATAGTCTTGCCTAAACTACTTCTAATCTAAGGGTGCCGCTAAGTGGAGGGCGAGAGCGTTGCCGTCGAGAGAAATGATTGAGGGCAGTGGCAGTGTCAGGACATGGTGGATGCTTGATACATTTTTAAAAATTAATAATTTAAAAATAATTAAAAAAAATTGAACCCAATATCTAGAGTTAAGCCAAAGGGACATGAATCTTTTTTATGATTTTCTTCGAGCCCAAGGGATAAATTTGCTTCCTGGGCTTCAATGTAGCGCCACTAGTGATTTGAGGGATTGAAGAGCATGTATAAGGATTCTCCCTCCGTCCCTATATACTCCGTCACTAACTCAGTGAAGCGAGCGGTGGTGAGTGTGGATCCAGAAGAGGCGAAGAGAGCATGGAACGAGCAATACAAGAGGGATCGCTTTGCTGAGGCTTACTCTAAGTCTATACGATCGAGCAATTTCATTACCATCTGCCAATGCAACCTACGGGAGCAACTGTGCATCCACATGGATGGGCTTGGGACGGTTGGCTGATGCGGTGGGGGAGCGTTGATCATGGAGTAACTTGCAACGTGAGGTTCTAGTGGGAGGTGAGAGACCATACGACGACAGAGGAACAAGCTTGGATGAGTCGGTTCCAAATTCCAATGATATTTATGGAGAGAACGAGAGGGGAATGGTGGTGAACGGTTGGGCAGATCGTGTTTGGATGAACAAGAGATACCTCATATTTTGCATTCCACCTGGCAAGGAGACCCACTCTTAATGTTGAAAATTAACAAATGTTAAAAACATTTAACGGTTTAATCATTTTTATACTCATTAAATCAATATTATAAATATTTTTGTGCCTTTTTTATTTAAAGATGCTGGGTGTTTTTGAATAAAAAATTTATAAATATTTTTTGTTTTTTAACCCTTTTAAAATAAATAAATAAATAACAGGATACAAATGGGCCGATCCTTCCACCTAAATAAGCCGACTCTCAATCTTAAAGGGCTTCAGCCCTATTTTGAGGTGCACATACGCGTGCCAATTCTAACAATTCTAAAACCTAAACAAGTTGTGGCGCTACAAGTTGGCCCACTCTACTCAATTAGGTAGGCATGATTAGATTTGCTTTTTAGTTGGGAGTGGCAACCGTCAAGAACATGGGGAGTTTGGGGATGGAAACGCATTGCGCGCGCTCATCATCCCTGTGGAGAGATATGAATCATTTATTTCTCTTCAAACAAACCTTGCTGTTGAATTAATTTTTTTAAATATTTTAATATCGTATTTACAAAAATAAAATATATAAAAATTATAGTATTAAATATGGATTGTTTTTTATATTATTAGAGGATAAATAGTTCACACTCATCACTCTTGATAAAATTTAAATAGTTCAAATTTAATTTTTTTATTTTTATTTTATATTTATTAAAATAAAAAATATGGAAAAAAATATAGAAGTCTTTAATATTATTTTTTTAATACTTTTTATAAATTGACTATTTAAATATATTCTGAATAGTACATATATAATTTATAAGGTCTAATTTAATATTAAAATTTTATAATTTTAATTAATTAATTATTTAGATACACTTTAAACAGTTGATTTAACATTATAATTTTCCATAATTTTTATTTTGATAAATTTAACATAAAAATATTTTAAAAATAATTTTAAGTCAACGGTAGATGTCATTTAAAAAATAATGAAGAGCTCAGGTTACCCCATAACGGTGCTCATAAGCACCGAATGCGGTCCCGTTTGGGAATGTTTTCTGCACTCTGCTGTAACAGAGCTTTGTTTCGTCTTTGGCGATTTCGGCTTAAATGATGAGAAAGTTCCCTGATGGCCTCACGGGATAGGTGATGACAAGGTCGTTCATTGATTTGGCAGCATTTGTTTATGGACCACCAAATTTATGTCAGGGACCTTATCAAAAGAAACGTCGCGTGTAGTTTCAGTAAAGGATTGGCCTTAAGACTTGTTGGTGGGTTCCCACTCGTTTTTGTGCTTTTGGTGTTGACTCGACTTACAAGGCCAAATTGAGCTTGAATTGCCTCAATTCGACCATGTATCATATTAGGAAAAGATATATGATGTTGAGAAGAGATCGAGGTCCAATTAATCCTAATATAACCGAAAAAAGAAAAACCGTTGTTCGTGAATCCTTTACAAAAGTAAAACGATTGGAGGCGGGGTCTTTTTGTCGGAAAGTTGATATCATAAAGAACGACATATGTAAAAACATCACTGAAAATTGTCTCTTTTAACATGTTCTTGAGTGATACTGGGTGTTAAATGTAGTGGGAGAAGTTTACTGTTACAGAACACCCAGATTCAAAGCAGTAACAGTGGGAATTGTTATGGAGATCTGTATTTAAGCCAGACAGATAGACAGCCACTGTCCACCCTACTCCCAATCCCAACCTCCAGATCGTTTCTTGTGGTGTAAACAGAGACAGGGTTGGAGCCCCAACAGAGTTCACGCAAATATATATATATATATATATATGTATAACTGCTCATGATCTCGCTTTCTAGTTTCAAAATTTCCAGACTTGACTTCTGCAAATCGGTGATTAATACAGCCGAGAATGGATTCATCTGATCATTTCTGTTCACAAGCCCAGAAGGTGGACCCCTCATCCTTCATCCCTTGTTTGAAAATCAATATTATTCGAGATTTCCTCAACTCAAATCCTTGCTTTTGTCTTCTACCTCTAATTCTATTCTCCGAAATTATTATTTTAAAACAATGGCAAGCTTTTACGATCGGCCAGCCATCACAGGAAAAAAACAATTTGTTGAAGCGTTGCGTTAGGGTCGCTGCAACTGAAGTTCAATGTTTCGCCATAGAATATTGCTCACGTGCTGAATTGCAATCACTATTTTTTATGGTTGCAACCCGATCTTTGTACCTCGGAATTGTTAAAAGCACTTCATTAATTAACAAACTAATGTCGCCACCTCGGGACCCCCTCGGATTAATAATTTTACCCAAGTGGATGACACAAGAAATAATGTGTGTATAGTTAATTATCCTGACCTCACCTGCAAAACAAAACATTATTTAAGGACACAATTCCAACGAAAATGGTTGAGGTGACCTTGAATGTGCCACTTAGCCATCGCCACTTTGAGATTAGGAATTGGGATCCACATTCGTTGAACTCGGGAGCAATCTCCATCATGGTTCCTCCTGACGCTGATAATTACCCATCCATTGAATCTGCAAGGTAAAGTTTTCGCGGCCAATTATGAAGTGGCCGCACAATATAAATGGCAAGTTCAAGCCAGTATCGATAAGCACTATCACACCAAAAGAATGGAACAGTCGCCAAAGAAAAAGGAGAAGGAAGATGGACCGAGAGAGACCAAGTACAGAGGAGTACGGAGGCGACCATGGGGGAAGTTCGCAGCAGAGATTCGAGATTCGAACAGGCACGGAGCTCGAATATGGCTGGGCACTTTCAGCACAGCAGAAGAAGCGGCGAGAGCCTATGATCGTGCGGCTTTTGGGATGAGAGGGCAATCGGCGATTCTGAACTTCCCGGAAGAATATGGTTTGAGCAATGGGGGAAGTGCTGGTGCTAGTAGTAGTAGCCACCAGCATCGCTGTTCATCGTCGTCTTCAATGGTGGAAGCCCAGGGTCAGGGTGGGAGACAAGTGTTTGAGTTCGAGTGTTTGGATGATAAATTGTTAGAGGACCTTCTCGATCATGCCGCCAAGAAAGAAGAGTAAAGCCTACCCTGTTGGCCTCTAAGCTAGGAATTCAATGGTCTCTCCATATATATATATATATTTTTTTTTTTTTTGGGGGTTGAATCTGTCTGTTAATTCGTTTTCGTCTCTTTTCTTTCCTTTCTTTTCTCTGTCCTACAGACAGTTATTTCGTTTTCGTTTCTCACTTTTATGGACCTCGCAGTCCACTTCTTTTGAGTAAGTCTAAATAGCGATTGATACAAGACTTTATATTTGTGTATGTATATGTATGGATGTAGGTATTTGTACAGTTTAAGCTAATTTATTTTCTACGTTTTGATCTTTCGTTCTGAAATAGTCTATAAATTATCCCTTTTTCTACTGGTACCAAATAATTGTATTTAGAGTTCTTTTTTCATTTTTATTTGTTAACTCCTATTTTCTTGGGGAAAGAAAATATGTAAGAGATTGTTATGGGAAAATATTTAAGAGATGATTATAAAGTAAATATAAAATTATTTTATTTAAATAAAATTAAATGAAGTCAACGAAAAATAATATAATTTAATCTAATGAAAAAATTTATACAATTTAAATTATTGTTAGAAATGGATGAAGTTCTGTTCAACAATGAAGTTCAGGCCCAAACTTTTTCTTATTTTGGGCCAAACGAATTTTTCTTCGAAGAATATCTTGGGTCAGCGAAACCTAGTATCTATGAATCTAGCCCAAAAAGATCTTTTAAGATTATGTTTTTTTTTTTTTTTTTAAAGAGAAGATCTCTTAAGTTGTCGAGTAACATTTGGAGTCGAGGATAACAGGCAACGCAAGCTACATTAGTTGCTTTTCAACCCGGGATCAATCAGACTCCATTTTTGTGTCATAATTTAGTTCGACTTCAGTTTTTAATTACAATATTCTTGGTTACGTATATTTATTAAATTTAATGAAAAATGTTAAAATTGATTTAAAATATGTTTCAGAAACAAAAAATATTTTTGTATAATTTTCACGAAATTGAAGAAAAAATTACATAATTTAGTATGAAAAAAAATGTGTGACTTTTGTTTATTCCAATCCCACTTAATCGTTATTTGTTTCAAAAAATTTCGTCAAATCGAAAATATTAGCCAAGCTGAAATGTAGGTTTTGACACACCTCATTGGAATATAACTTCAAATGATAATGCCAATATGAGAATTTTACTAATAAGTAATTCATAAATTTTTTTTATAAGTGTTCTTTCCATAGTCCTAGGTGTAATATAGATCTCATTTTAATAGATTAATCTGACCTAGCCTATTTTCGTTCTCTCCTTTGGACAATTTCTTTCCGGCGGCCTTGTATTTTAAAAAAACTAATAAAAGAAGAAAATATTATTTGCAAGGGAAAATACGTTATTGGATAGATCTAAGAAAGTAAAAGGAATGTGTCAGTGCACTTAAATGCTGTCAGTGCAAAAAAATTTAATCAGGGAATTGCAAAATGAAAAAAGGTTTGAAGGAAAAAAAATATATAAATAAATCAGGTACACCATATTATTTATAGTCTATTTAATTAAAATATTTTAAAAATATAAATAAAATTTTGTGTGATATTTTTTAAATTAATTTTATTTTTATAACAAAATACACATTTAATTTCTTGTCTTTTTTCTTTCAACTATTATTAATATTGAAATCAATTTATAGTTACTGTCATCTCTTTTATTGAACAGATTATAAATAATGTGGTGCACCCAATTTAATTAAGTATTTTCTTAAAAAGAGAATGCATTTTAAGGGCAAATAACTATAAAGTCCTTTATAAGCATTATAACCACCAAAAAGTCCCACTGAATACATAAATAATTGTGAGATTCTGATGGATTTGGTTGTGACTAATATTTGTTATAAATTGACAAAAATACCCTTATTTGGGGGGACACTCAACACTCAGGAGTGAGCAAAATCAAATCGCAATTGAAAATAGAATTGAATCAAATTGAATTTTATCTATTTAATTTAGTTTGGTTTTTCGATTTGATTTGATTTTCTTTTAAGGAAAATTTTGATTAATAGGTTCGATTTCATCTAAAAATTCTTGAACAAATCAACCGAACCTACCACATTATACATATTTTTCTTTTCATATTTTTAAAAATGTGATTAAATTATCATTTAGGTGAGTAAAAAATCTTTCTATCACTTGCAATAAAAGTTTTTTTCATTTAATGTGATGTTCTAATTTTTTTATTTTTATAATTTTGTTTTTAATGTAATAGTACTGAGTTTTATTAATCTTCTCATAAATTATGATATAAGATTGCTATTTTTTTGCTAGGCCTTCAACATCAAGGGAAAAAAATTAGATAGAAGAATATATGAATAATTAGACTTTATAAACCTAAATCAAAATTCATGAACTGAATAGATTGATAGAATTGAATCATTATAATTCATTTCAGTTTTAATTCGATTGGTTCATGTATTTCGATTTGATTCTATTCAAATTTTTTATATAATTTGGCTGATCAGTTTTAGCAAAATTGAAATTGAATCAATCAAACCGACTAAAGGTTCACCCCTATAAACACTCCCACAATCACTTCCTCTCTAACTAAGACATCACATTAGTATGCGATTGGAACTCTATTGACTCTAACAATCTGTGTTGCTCTATTCTTATTCTTGAAATTAAAAATTATATTTGCTTTGTCCAGTACAGGCTATTTACATAAGTTTGCTCAGAGAAAAAAGGAAAACAAAATCACCCACAAACACATTAATAAAGAAAACAGTCCCTCCCCATGATTAGTGATAGATTGGAAATCTGTGACTAAATATCCATCACTAATTTTGATTTTCTTAACAGTGGCTCTTCCCTCCCAGTATCATTTTCTTTTGAATGGAAGGAGATTTTATTATAAGAAACAAAGAAATGACAAGGCTGAGCAATGCCTTCAAGAGTAAGTTTGCTCATGATCTTGGATTTCTATTAGGATACCTGGAAGAAGCCCATGGTGAAGGCTACCCACTTGACTTGCTCCACCACGGCAAGACGATGGTCAAGAGAGTCAAGACTGTAAAGGTCGATGGTGGGGATTCTGGCACCAATGAAGATAGGGTTCGAGGATGAATAAGAATAAGATTAAGAGGAGGGAGGGAGGGAGAAAGGAAGAGGGAAGGGGTTGTGGGAGTACTTCGTGCGTTTTCTTTTCTTCTTTTCTTCTTTTTTTAATCAAGGTACTTTTATCGATTCACAACAAATATTATTCACAGCCAAGTGGCTAGGACCTCACAATGGAACTTGATGGTAGCTAGAATGCTTGTAAGGACTTTATACTGATTTTCCCATGTTTTAATTCATAGCTAAGGAGGCTGAGCAGTGGAAGGAGAGTGGGGATGATGAGGAAGCTGTGGTTGAAGAAGAAGATCGTCCAACACCTTGTCATCCAAGCACTCCAACTCAACCGGATCATCCTGTTGCTGTTCTTGGCTCTGTGAGCTCTCTCTGTCGGCGGCGGCTGAATTATGTGAAGATGAAGAAGCTGCAACTGCACAAGAAGAAGAGAAAGAGATCATGGTAGTATGAGGAGGAGGAGGAGGAGGAAAAAGGTGGGTATAATGGTTAGGGAAGTTGAGGATGGCTCGGTGACCCCTGAATCTGAAAGCGGCGGCGTCGTAAGCCCTGGCGGCCTGCTCAGCGGTGTGGAAGGTTCCGAGCCAAATGCGCATGCCGTTCCTGGAAGGATCTCTGATCTCCGCCGCATACTTCCCCCACGGCCTCTTCCTTATCCCTCTGTATCTCTTCCCTTCCATCCTCTTCGTCCAATACATCTTCTCTTCAATTCCTATATATAAACACACGGCCACGTACGACCAACGAGGTTTATTGTTTTTTAATATTATTAATTGGGCTGATCCATGTTGCCTTCCTCTACTATACAACGGCCATCCACTTGCGTGAATGACTGCGCTCGCTTCTGTATGTTCATGTACAACTTGCATTTCTCTTTCGATACTATTCAAAGATTTGGTTAATAACTGCCTCAAAAAGGGACGATTTTTCAATCCCACTATCAAAGCCACGTTCCTTTTGCCTTCCCCTGCCCTTTTACTTCATTTTATATCTTCCACACGGCTTTTCATTGCCCACATGCATGCATTCAATCTATATATATATATATATATATATATTAATGTGAGTGCATGCCTGAGGGATTTGGACTACAGCGTTCAAAAAATCAGCGGCAAATAAATCAATGCTCGTGATAAGAAATCCACCCTAGTTTATGCCTCATCTCCAAATGTCACTGATTTACCCTCCTTCCTCAGTAAACAGGTTTTCGTTATGAATAAGTCTAAGAGTTAGTTAATTAAGACGGTGCTATTTCGCCATTCCTGCCTATTTGTTCCCCCGGTCTGCCCCATTTTTAATTTAGATATAAGTTGCTCTACATTCCTGATAATTACTTACAGGCAAAATCAGGTGAGGTACCGGTACGTCTTGCTTGTTAATGTTTTTCAAAGAATGCATATTAATAAATAATAAATAAAAAAGCGGAACCCGACTTGAGTCTAGTCTATTATTAATGGGGCGATACTTCGTACGAAAATGAAATCGAGTAAGGCCTCGATTATTGGTGATTTTTTTAAGTTGTAAAACAACTAACAGCTCTCCATCTTTTCTTTTGTTTTCCTTCAAGGAGATCAGAGTGTTGTGCGCAGGATACAGAAAGAATCATATGTAGAGTTATTTAATTAAAGCGTCCACGTTACAATAATAGAATGCCGAGATCGGTAAATAATGTCATGCATGACATAGAAAATGGTCTATGGTCAGATTCAAACCTTCATTCACCTTTTCCTTTCGGATTCCCCATTGGTTGTTTGTTGTTTGACCCCACGTTTCTAGGTCATCCGATCATCATTTCATGGCACCAACTCACGATTCCATTCCTCCCCCATCCTCCATTAATTCTTCACATACAAACCTGAAGCGTCTCAATATTTTATTCATCCTTCCAAATATTTGTTTCAAGTTTTAACACATTAATTTACGAATTTTACTTTCCCGCAACCCTCCAGTTTCCACAGGAAACATCAGAATTCTGAAATGATGAGTTTCACAAGAGAAACGGAGTGCGAGTGTCGCAACATTTGTCTCTATCACAAGTTCACAGACATGGAAATCCAAAAACTACAAGGAATTTCGCTGATATATTTCACTTGAGGAGAATTTGGCAGTCAAAAGCTCAACAAATGCAAGGAAGAAAGGAACAGAAAGAGGAGAAGAACCTCTATGCACAGGGAAGAGAAGAGAAACAACTAGAGATGGAGATGACCATTTATATATATACCCTAACTTCTTTTCATTGAGCCCTTACCTCTTAAGTCTAATAATAATAACTTCTAGCCCATTAATTACTAACTCACAAACCCAATCCATATTTTCCTTAAGCCCATTCCTGACATCACACAACCAACATGGCCGAAGCTAATGCCACAAGAACGAAAAAGAGTTGGATTCATACTTCACAGCATGTGCGGCATTCATCTGACTCACGCTGTATCCCTGCTTGCTGCCTGAATTCTTCTCCTCTTTTTCACGCTAGTCCTTCGATTCATTTATTTATTAATTAATTATCTCTTTTAACTGGTCCATTAAACAAGGCACTATAATTCTTAAAACTCATTGAAACATGTGTCCACTATATTTTTAGGCCAGTGCAAGTTTGTTGTTTTCATTAGAATTGGTAATATGGGCTAACCCGTGACCCGTGGGTTGGCCCGTAGTGGGTTGCGGGTTATGTAGGGTGGGTTAGCATTATATATGAAAAATATTATTTTTAGTATTTTTTTTAATTTCTCTAAACTAGGATGTTGATCACCTTAACATTAATACCAAGAAATTCTTTCACACTTAAGCCGTATGTACTATAATTGGCTAAAAACAAAAGCATAATAACAATGAGTTTTGATATAAAGAACACAGAAAACCCAAACAACAGTGAGTTCTCATGCAAACAACAATAAACTCTTAGAAATAAAATATGTTACAAAATTTCTCCTAATCAATGATAATGTTAGAAGCTTTATCAGAAGCTGCAATAACATTAATTTGAGTAGATTTCTCCAAGGCTTTATCTATCACAAACAAAAATAAAACATAATTAATATGAAAATATAATTAACATTTAGAAATCTAGAAAGTAAATGAGAGAATATAAATATTATATTACCAAGTCATGGAAAACTAAAAATCCAATTGCGAGTACAAATAAGAGCTTCAACATTATCAAGAAGAAGGTTACTTTGATATTTTGTGAGAACTCTCGATCCAATACTAAAAGCAGATTCACTAGCCACTGTAGTGATTGGAATGCTAAGAATATCACATGCTATCCTTGAAAGATGAGGAAATCGAGTTGAGTTAGTCCTCCAATATTCCAACTCATTTAATTTTTTTCAAGTTAGCATCAAGTGTTGCTTCTTACAAGTAATAGTCTAGTTCAAACTTTTCTATGGATGCAATGTCTTGGTTCTTGCAAATAAGATAATCCTGGAATATAAAACTAAATCATTAAGCATCACTAAAATTATCAATCCAAATAACATTAAAAGAACACATTTAAATATAAAAATATTTAAAACTTAAAGCAAAAGCATCCATGTAATTATCTTCCTCTGATCCCACTAAATCAAGAGTAGATTTTTATGATGATGATAATGATGATCCCAACATATTAGAACTTGATATACCTTCTCCTCCAATACTACCGGTAGTAGCTGAAGATAATGGTGATCCCACATCTTTATAATCATTGAACAAATAATACAACTTGCTCTTAATATATTCAATTTTTTCATTACAATGTATGGGATCAAGTTTTGCATAAGAATACTTCACTACATCAAACTTCATCCTTGGATTAAGAATAATCTCAAGAGCAAGAATGACATAGTAATCACTCTAATATTTATCAAACTTGACAAGCATTCTAGAAGCCATATCTCCAATTACAGGATTAACATTATCTAAATTTGCTTTTAACAATGATTCAATATTTGAAATTTGCATGAAATACATGTTAGAAGTCGAATATGATGACCTAGAAATCAACTTTGTTATTACTGCAAATGGCTTCAAGAATTTGCACATCTCTTCTACTCTAGACTACTCTTCACTTGTGAGGGAATATTTAAAATTGTATCCTGCAAAGCTAAACTAACAAAAGCACGACAATATTTAAGTGCACTTTCAAGCATCACATGTGTTGAATTCCATCTAGTTGGGACATCTAACCTCAAGCCTATGGAAATGTCATCCCCTCCATCTTGAGCATATTTTTTAAAATTTATCATCCTTGGCTTCGATGCCTTCACATATTTTATGCTCTCCCTAATCTTATATACTGTATCAATGGCTACTTTCAAGTCTTCTTGAACTATAAGATTCAAGATGTGAGCACAACATTTCACATGAAAAAAATTCCCTTGAACATATCAAGCCATTTTGTAAATTCAACATAGCTTTCAATATAACTTGCATATTGTCATTGGCTGAAGCAATGTCCAGAGTGATAGAAAACACTTTCTTCTCAATACCCCAATCTATCAAGCATTCATGTACTTTTTTAGCTAATTCAGCCCCAGAGTGTGGAGGATCCATCTTTGTAAATGCAAGAATTTTGCTATTAAGTTTTCATTTCTCATCAACAAAATATGCAGTTAAACAAAGATAACCTTTAGAAGTTATTGCAGTCCAATAATCAAAAGTCAAGCACACTCTGCTAAGACTATTTGTTATGATCTTTTTCAAATCCTCTTTTTGAATAAGATAAAAATTCCAAACATCCACTATAACAGTTTTTCTTGTAATGAGCTTATAATCAGGATTTAAATATTTATTTAGTTCCCTAACTCGTTCATACTTAACCCAAGAATAGGGGAGATCATATTGAATAATAGCTATAGAAATTATTTTTCAAACTTTATTATGATCAATTTGTCTAGCTTTAAGCTTCCTAGATTGATCTATCATACCAATTTCATGACATTTTGGAAGGGACAAACAAGCATTCACATGACGCCAAAGGGTCGAAGTACCATAATCCCTACCACCAATAACAAATGGTTTTCCACAACCATTACATGTAGCCTTCTCTTTTTCCATCTACTATACCAATTTTAGTATAATATTTCCATATTTCAGATATGCAAGATTTTGTTTTAGCTTTTTTATTTGAAGTATGTTGCACAAAAGAGTCAGATTCAGTAGGTGCTAGTTTTTCCACATTAACTTAACTATCTGTAGCACTAGCAGAAGCCATCCTACAACATATAATTAATTCATCTAAAGTAAATAGAGAAGTAAATCAACTAACCAAACAACTCAAATTCATATGAAAAGCATTAATTTCTAAACTATTTAAATGAACAGACCTACTAATTCAAAGAATTTAAAGTTGAATATAAATACTAGTTAGAAATGTTCAAACAAAACCAACACCTATAATGCCAAATCTGCAGAAGCTGATACACTACATATCTGATACACTACATAGTTGGTTGCTGGATCAATGTTTTGCCAAGTATTGATTTTTAGCACCGCATTGAACAAAATAAAGATCCCAGAACAAAAATCAGAGAAGTTGAGCAAGGAACAACATAAGGGGACGAACTTGTGGAGCTTGAGCAGAAGAGTTGAGTCAAGGCAAGATTAGAGAAGTTGAGCACGATTGCAAGAGCAAGATCTGACTTGGCCTATGAGTTCAGAAAACCAACGATGACTACAAGAGAATTCGATAAGATGAATCACGAG